TAGACTTATTTATTTGCTAGTGAACTCGAACTTAAGACCCACTTTGTTGGCAATAACTTCCCTTTGAGACTTGTGGCCATCTACCGATATTTTTCTAGTTAGTTTTAGGGATTTCCTTAATCATCGCGCATTGGACAAGACTTCTCTAGAGTTGAATTTGGGATTTATGGGCTCAATCTTAGGAACAAAGAAATGAACTATTAAGAAGACAGTGAACCTTTCCTTCATGAAATACTATCTTTATTGAAATTCACAAACTCTTGATCTTAAGCTTTACGGTGATTGCAACATTTTCATAAAGGACTTGGAATTGGATGTCTACATTCGCAGATACGGTGAAGAACGACTTTGGACGCCACTCGTGCTGGATAAGAGCACTGACCTTGCCAAAGTTGTTCACTCGAGCCTTCCCCGTGGTCAGTGGATCAAGTGAATGCTGGGTGCCAACGGTGATGGTATTCCAAAAACAGCAGGGTAGCTTCCATAAAGTCTTTGTGATATCTTTTTGTCCCAAAAACACACTTTTGGACTCGGGGGGTGTTTTGTAATTGAACTATTGAGGTCGGTGCACATGAGAACATGTACTCAAGTTATTTGGCTTCATTGGAAGCTGTTATAGTTGGCCACTTGTCAACATTTTCTCCTTCACAAGACTCGCATTGGATACTGGCCGCTTTGTCTCATTTTCACCTGCATAAAAAAGTGGCATTGGTGTTTAGATCTTTCTCTTATTCGACGAGTTGGGGTTATGTTCTTCCCTTTAGATGTCAATGGGTCGAACTTGTAAGAGTCCCGCTGACCTCTCGGTTGGAAATGAACGTTTAACTAGCGCACCGAAAGTATTAGAATCGTTCTTGATCTTACTTAGAATTAAATAAAACAAAATGTTAAACAAACTACATTGAAGAAATATGGAGAAAGTTCTCGCAGATCTTTAGTCTACTTGCTCCAACTTCTCCAATAGGTGAATCTCCACTGTAAAGTATTCATTGCTAGGAATCGAACACAAAGTCAAGGCTTGTGGTTGCTTCTTGAAAGAAATTCTGCAAGGACGGGAGAAGGAGACTTTTAGAGAGAATACTGGAACCGAGGAAACGTAGGATACTTTTTTGGTCAACCCAAGGGTCTTCTCTACGGCTATTTGAGGATCTTTACCAAATATTATATTTGAATATCTGTCATGGTAGGATATAACATCTTTCCCCAATCATATTTAAATGTCATAAGATATTCTCATATATATTTAACTAATTTAAATCTCTCTCAAATTTCAAATATATATTTTCATTCAATTATCTATATGCATGGATTATTTTAACATTTAGTATATCAAAAGCAATAAATATATTTTTCTCCTATTTGAACCCATTAACTTAAATGTATTTTTCTTTCTTTATATTTAATATATCTAATATTTTAAGTTGCAATTTAAGCACTCCAATTTAAATATATTTTTTCTCTTTCTTGTATTTAATGGATCTGATATGTTAAATATCAATTTGAACACTTCAAATTAAATACTTTTTCTTCTTTGAAATTTTTCTTCAACTAAATCGATCCTTTTCGTGTTACTATGAGCTGGCAAAGGAACCTTATGACCGTATTGATTATAAGCTGCAATGACGTAAAATTAATTAAATATATTCCTTAATTAATCAACTTTGTTCATTAACTACAGGCCACTCCATCGTAGACCTAGAGTTGCACCCTTATATAGTGTACAACAAGTTTTGACCATTGATATAATCGTTACAAGCTATCACGAGTTGTTCGCAATGTCTTATGCCTTAAGTGCCACTAACTCTCTCATGAACAATTTACTTATGATCAAACCATAAACCAAGTCCTTCTCGGGTCGGTGAGAGAGTGTAACTCCATTGTTCAAGTCCCGAAATCAGCACTTGAGGGAACTACTCGTCTACTTATTCTATATCGGAAAGAGTGAATTTCATGTCGTGAAATTATGTTCCTAGCTCCCTGTTTGGTCAAGTTTCCAAAACAGTAGACATATTAAATTTGTTATAAAAGTCATTCTCAACTCCCTTAGGATTGAGGTTGAGTCGCATATGGTCATCTTGTAAAATATTAATTTTCTCGATTATTGAATTTGTAAAGCGAGATAAAAAAATTTCGTGGTCCAATCTTATACAAACTCTTTGCAGTATAAGATACACCCACTCACATGTGTCAACATGAACGATTGAGATATAATCATTTGTAACAATTACAGACAGAGTCGTATCAATTATGTTATCAGGATAAGAGACGAAACCTTATCGACATACTATAGACCCTTTAGGTTATTCTTAAACATGATTCTCTTGTATGTCAATCACATGTTGTTTAAGATTACATCAATGATCTAGGACTTTTCGTACCATGGATAATGTTAAATTTTAAATAAAATAATCAAATATATTATTAAAATTAAACAATTAATTACAAGGCTTTATGACATGAATCTTGTTAAGGATAGTTGATCGTTCATTATAAGGCAAATATCTAGATATTTGCCTTACATTACGGGTTACCATATTTGCCCTTTTATTAAAGGCAAATATATTGCATTCATTTATTATTTTTTCCTTTTATTACTATTCCCATATTATTTGTAATTTACCATATTTCTGCATCCTGTAAATGATTATAAAAAAGAGAACTCTCACCCCCATTTAGGTGTGGTGATTCAGCAAACATTCACATGGTATCAGAGCTCTCTCCGTTACATTTACTAATAATCTTATTACTATCCAGAATCGTCAAACAGGAAGGGTGGTGGCAACCGGTAAACGAGATGGAGGGCTATATGTGCTGGAGCGCGGTGTCACGGTCATGCTTGTCCAGGGCATGTTGCCCATGGCCGCATGCCCATGACAAGCCAAACCCTTGTCATGTCTTTTCATTCTAGTGTTTTTCCTTTTGTAATTCTAGAGCGTTTGACACCTCAAAAATATCATGTCTAGACCTGCCAGAACTAAAATGGCCCAGAATGTACTATAGGGGGATATGACTAGTCGTCAACTTCTCCCTACCCAAGGTTATATATGCTAAGCCGTTGTTATCTTTCTCTTGCTTGCTTATATAACGTCTCTTTCTAAAATCTCTCTCTCTCCTCGTTTCTAAAACCTTCTTTTAAAACTGAGGCTAGAGGCTCGACCGTACGTCGCTTGGCCGTAGGCGACGCAAGAACAAATTGGCTGGAAAGTGAGTGCCGCACAATCGCTAGTCCGTTGCCTTCGAAAGTGCGATTGTGTCAAGTGGTATCAGAGCTTTGTTAGCTCCGTAAAGTCATACAGACCGAGATCATGTCGACAACACAGTCGACACCCAAAGCACAAGCCGACCGGCTTACGCTAATAGAGAAGGAAATGCTGTTCCTCAAAGAAGTCCCTGACACCCCCAGTTTCCTGGAAACACGGGTGACCGAACTGAGTGAGAAAGTCGTCCAAGTCGACGCAATGGGCAACCGCCTGTTTGGGTTGCCAATCGCAGAACTGATGTTTCGAGTGACCTCGCTCGAAGAAAGAGTTGCTCCTACGAGCAGCCCAAAACCATCTGATAGTCCGGATAGCTCTGTCGCACACAAAGAGGGACGTGGCGAAGAGTTCGACGTACTACAAAACACAATGATGAGTTTGTTCAATGGATTGGCTGATGAATTCAGAACAACAGTCGACGACCAACAAGAAAGGATGGCCGCCATGAGCACTCGAATTGAAGTTACCATGAAAGCCGTGGAAGGTGTCAAAGCCACAACGGCTTGTACCGACGGCAAGAAGGTGACGGTAGCCGCGATGTATCTCATAGACGACGCCAAACTGTGGTGGCATACGAAGGTGCAAGACATCGAGGATGGATTGTGCTCCATCGACTCATGGGAGGACCTCAAGAGAGAGTTGAGGGAACAATTCCTCCCCGAAAACGCAGGGCATATAACAATAGAGAAAATAGTAGCCCTGAAACACACTGGAAACATACGGGACTACGTCAGACAGTTCTCAACCCTGATGCTGGATATCAAGGGCACGGTAGAGAAGGACAAAGTGTTTTTCTTTATAAATGGTCTACAGCCATGGGCCAAAACAAAGATACATGAGAACAGGGTCAAAACCCTAGCTGCCGCAATGGCCTGCACCAAGAGACTCGTGGACTGTGGGAATGAAGCAGGATCCCAAAGAAGAGCGACACCAGCCCCAAACAATGGGGGCAAACCATACAGACCACTAGGCCATCGAAATGGAAGCCCCAACAGACCGAGTGGATGGACGGATAGACCTCCCCAGAACAATCAAGCGGGGACATCTCGAGGGCCCTATCATCAAAAGAACCACCCGACGATGCCTTTGCAATGCATACTGTGTAAAAGCCCCCACAAGGTATCCTACTGTCCTCATCGGGCCTCTCTCACTGCACTCCAAGTGTCCATTCAAGAGAGTACTGAGGCAAGGGTCGAGACTTTGCTAGACAAGAAGGAAGATCACGACAACCCCCGAATGGGCGCACTCAAATTCTTGTCAGCCCTCCAATGGAAAGTCGAACCGAAGGAGATAATAGAGAAAAGGCTCATGTTCGTAGATGCCACAATAAACTCTCGACCGAGCAAGAGCACTCTGATAGACTCTGGAGCAACCCACAACTTCATTGCCGATCAAGAAGCCAGAAGATTGGGACTCACCATAGGAAAAGACCCAGGGAAAATGAAAGCTGTCAACTCCGAGGCCTTGCCTATTGTGGGAGTTTCCAAAGGAGTCCCCTTCAAAATAGGGGATTGGACTGGAGAGCTAGACCTTGTCGTGGTTCGCATGGACGACTTTGACGTGGTACTTGGGATGGAGTTCCTCCTAGAACACAAGGTCATCCCAATGCCATTGGCAAAATGCTTGGTGATCACCGACCATAACCCCACAGTAATACCTGCAAGCATCAAGCAACCAGGTAATCTTCGAATGATCTCGGCCATACAGCTGAAAAGGGGACTCGCACGAGAGGAACCTACATTCATGGCCATACCACTGATAGAAGAAGCAACCACCGAAGAGACTGTCCCAGAGGAAATCAAGGAAGTACTAGACAGCTATACCGACATAATGCCAGAGAGTCTACCACAAACACTACCACCTCGTCGAGGCATTGACCATGAAATCGAACTCCTCCCCGGGGTTAAGCCGCCAGCGAAAAACGCATACCGGATGGCTCCGCCCGAGCTAGCCGAATTGAGGAAACAACTGGACGAGTTGCTGAAGGCGGGATTCATTCGCCCGGCAAAGGCACCTTATGGAGCCCCCGTACTGTTTCAGAAGAAGAAGGATGGGACGTTGCGTCTGTGCATAGACTATGGAGCCTTAAACAAGGTGACGGTACGCAACAAATATCCTCTGCCGATAATATCCGACTTGTTCGACCAACTTCACGGGGCCAAGTACTTCACGAAGTTGGACTTACGATCAGGATATTATCAAGTACGTATTGCCGAAGGACGAACCCAAGACGACGTGCGTAACAAGATATGGGGCCTTTGAATTCCTAGTAATGCCCTTTGGCTTGACGAACGCCCCAGCTACGTTCTGCACGTTGATGAACCAGGTTTTCTACGAATACCTGGATCAGTTCGTCATAGTATACCTCGACGACATTGTTGTTTACAGCACAACCCTCGAGGAACACAAAGTACACCTGAAGCTAGTGTTTGACAAGCTCCGGCAGAACCAGCTGTATGTGAAGAAGGAGAAATGTGCATTCGCACAAACATGCATCAACTTCCTTGGACATGTCGTCAGATGTGAACAAATTAGTATGGATAGCGACAAGATAAAAGCTATCCAAGAATGGAAGGTTCCTACTTCCGTATCTGAGTTGCGGTCCTTCCTAGGACTAGCCAACTACTATAGGCGGTTCGTCGAAGGGTTTTCACGACGAGCCGCCCCATTGACAGAGCTGTTGAAGAAAGACCACCCTTGGTCGTGGTCGAATGATTGTCAAATGGCCTTTGAAAATCTGAAAACAACCATGACGAGGGGTCCTGTCCTCGGGTTGGTAGACGTCACAAAGCCATTTGAAGTAGAAACCGATGCTTCCGACTTTGCTCTTGGTGGGGTCCTTATTCAAGAAGGCCACCCCATCGCTTACGAAAGTCGAAAGCTCAATGATGCCGAACGAAGATACACTGTCTCCGAGAAAGAAATGCTAGCTGTAGTCCATTGCCTTCGAGTTTGGAGACAGTATCTCTTAGGATCACAGTTCGTAGTGAAGACGGATAACAGTGCCACTTGCCACTTCTTCGATCAACCAAAATTAACAGCAAAACAAGCTCGGTGGCAGGAGTCGTTGGCCGAATTCGACTTCAAGTTCGAACACAAAGCAGGAAAGAGTAATCAAGCAGCCGACGCGCTGAGTCGGAAGGGCGAACAAGCGGCCCTGTGCATGTTAGCCCATATTCATTCAAGTAAGATCGATGGATCGATGCGCGACATCATCAAGGAACATTTATACAAAGACCCATCGGCCAAAGCTGTTGTCGAACTAGCTAAGGCTGAAAAGACACGGCAGTTTTGGGTTGAAGGGGACCTCCTGATAACCAAAGGAAACAGATTGTACGTCCCAAGAACGGGGTAACTGAGGAAGAAACTCATTCAGGAATGTCATGATACCTTATGGGCCGGACACCCTGGGTGGCAAAGAACATACGCCCTAATAAAGAAGGGGTACTTCTGGCCAAACATGCGAGACGACATCATGCAATACACCAAGACGTGCCTCATCTGCCAACAGGATAAGGTCGAGAAAGCCAAAGTCTCTGGACTCTTGGAACCTCTACCTGTGCCAACAAGACCCTGGGAAAGTGTATCTCTGGACTTTATAACACACCTCCCAAAAGTCGGGGAATATGACGCCATCTTGGTTATTGTAGACCGGTTCTCAAAATATGCGACATTCATCCCCACTCCCAAATTATGCTCAGCGGAACTCACAGCCCAACTGTTTTTCAAACACGTTGTAAAGCTATGGGGCATTCCATCGAGCATCATCAGTGATAGGGATGGCAGATTCATTGGGACATTCTGGACTGAGTTATTCGCTTTCTTGGGAACAACCTTAAACATCTCCTCGAGTTATCACCCTCAAACCGATGGACAGACAGAACGGTTCAATTGCTTGCTCGAAGAATACTTACGTCACTTCGTCGACGCTCGCCAGAAGAACTGGATACAATTGTTAGATGTCGCCCAATTTTGCTTCAATTGTTAAACAAGCTCGTCTACAGGGAAGAGTCCCTTCGAAATTGTAAGTGGACGACAACCGGCCTTACCCCACATTATTGATCATCCTTATGCAGGAAAAAACCCTCAAGCTCACAACTTTACAAGAGAATGGAAGCAGACGACAGATATAGCCCGGGCATATTTAGAGAAGGCTTCCAAGCATATGAAGAAATGGGCGGACAAGAAACGTCGCCCCCTTCATTTCCGCACAGGAGATCAAGTCCTTATCAAGCTGAGACCCGAACAGATCAGATTTCGTAGCCGAAAGGACCAGAGACTAGTTCGTAAATATGAAGGCCCGGTTGAAGTCCTTAAAAAGATTGGGGCTACCTCCTACCGAGTTGCACTACCCGCGTGGATGAAAATCCACCCCGTCATTCATGTGAGCAACCTGAAGCCCTATCACCCTGATCCAGACGACGACAACCGAAATGCAACCACAAGACCGAACATCGATCTGAGGCAAAAAGAAACAAAGGAAGTGGAAGAGATCCTAGCCGACACGGTTAGGAAGATAGGAAGACCTGTACGGACGATTCGTGAATTCCTTGTCAAATGGAAGAATCTCCCTACAGAGGAAACAAGCTGGGAACGCGCCGAAGATCTGAACTCCGCCGCCACCCACATCGCAAGGTTTGAAAGTAGTCGGTTGATAGGGACGTCAACCAATTAGGTGGGGGAGGATGTCACGGTCATGCTTGTCCAGGGCATGTTGCCCATGGCCGCATGCCCATGACAAGCCAAACCCTTGTCATGTCTTTTCATTCTAGTGTTTTTTCTTTTGTAATTCTAGAGCGTATGACACCTCAAAAATATCATGTCTAGGCCTGCCAGAACTAAAATGGCCCAGAATGTACTATAGGGGGATATGACTAGTCGTCAACTTCTCCCTACCCAAGGTTATATATGCTAAGCCGTTGTTATCTTTCTCTTGCTTGCTTATATAACGTCTCTTTCTAAAATCTCTCTTTCTAAAATCTCTCTCTCTCCTCGTTTTCTAAAACCTTCTTTTAAAACCGAGGCTAGAGGCTCGACCGTACGTCGCTTGGCCGTAGGCGACGCAAGAACAAATTGGCTTAACTCACTTGTCGCTGGAAAGTGAGTGCCGCACAATCGCTAGTCCGCTGCCTTCGAAAGTGCGATTGTGTCACGCTGCAACTCTGCTTTTATTTCAGCCCTTAGAAACAAATCTTTACATGCTTCATATGATTTATGGCATGCTCGTCTAAGTCATGTGAATCATTCTGTTATTTCTTTTTTAAATAGAAAAGGTCATCTTTCTCTTACGTCTTTATTGCCTTCTCCATCGTTATGTAATACTTGTCAGCTTGCGAAAGGTCATCGATTGCCTTATTCCCGCAATGAACGTAGGTCGTCTCATGTGTTAGATCTTATTCATTGTGATCTTTGGGGTCCTTCTCCCGTCAAATCAAATTCGGGTTTTCTTTATTATGTTATTTTTATTGATGATTATTCTCGATTCACTTTGTTTTACCCTTTAAAATTTAAATCTGATTTTTTTGATATTTTTCTTCAATTTCAAAAATTTGTGGAAAATCAATATTCTTCTCGTATCAAGGTATTTCAAAGCGATGGTGGTACCGAATTTACTAGTACTTGTTTTAAAACTCATTTACGTAATTCTGGCATCCACCATCAACTCTCTTGTCCATATACACCTGCTCAAAATGGTCGTGCTGAGAGAAAACATCGTCATGTGACTGAGACTGGCTTGGCCCTTCTCTTTCACTCTCATCTTTCTCCTCGTTTTTGGGTTGACGCCTTCAGCACTGCAGCTTATATTATCAACCGGTTGCCTACTCCACTTCTTGGAGGTAAGTCACCCTTTGAACTCCTTTATGGCTACACTCCACATTATGACAATTTTCATCCCTTTGGTTGTCGTGTTTATCCTTATTTGCGTGATTATATGCCTAACAAGCTTTCTCCCTGCAGCATTCCTTGTATTTTTTTGGGTTATAGTCCTGCCCTTAAAGGGTTCCGCTGTCTTGATCCCGCCACCACTAAGCTATATATCACCTGTCATGCTCAATTTGATGAAACTCACTTTCCTGCTATCCCTAGCTCCCAAACCCAACCTCTTTCCTCTATTCCTATTTCAAATTTCTTGGAACCACATCTTCANCTTCAACACTGCAGCTTATATTATCAACCGGTTGCCTACTTCACTTCTTTGAGGTAAGTCACCCTTTAAACTCCTTTATGGCTACACTCCACATTATGACAATTTTCATCCCTTTGGTTGTCGTGTTTATCCTTATTTGCGTGATTATATGCCTAACAAGCTTTCTCCCTGCAGCATTCCTTGTATTTTTTTGGGTTATAGTCCTGCTCATAAAGGGTTTCGCTGTCTTGATCCGGCCACCACTAAGCTATATATCACCTGTCATGCTCAATTTGATGAAACCCACTTTCCTGCTATCCCTAGCTCCCAGACCCAACCTCTTTCCTCTATTCCTATTTCAAATTTCTTGGAACCACATCTTCATCATATTGATTCATCCCCCCCTACCACTTCATCACCGCAAACTCCTCGATCCAGTTCATCCCCGTGTGATATTTGTTCTGATCTTGTAGATGAGTCTGTGCAAGTTGATACTTCTCTTGCAGGTTCCACTTTGCCACCCTCAACTTCTAATTCGACCTCTATTGAACCTCCTGTTGATTTCTCTTCTTTGGGCACTCATCCTATGATCACACGAGCCAAAGCTGGTATATTCAAGACTCGTCATCCAGCAAATCTTGCTATTTTGGGCTCATCTAGACTTCTTTCTGCTCTTCTTGCATCCACTGAGCCAAAAGGATTCAAATCTGCGACTTAGAATCCTGCTTGGGTGGCTGCCATGGATGAAGAAATTCGAGCATTACAAGAAAATGATACTTGGACTTTGGTTCCTCGCCCTGCCAACACCAACATCGTGGGCTCTAAATGGGTGTTTCGTATTAAATATTTGCCTGATGGATCCGTCGAGCGTTTCAAGGCTCGTCTTGTTGCCAAAGGTTATACTCAGGTTCCTGGTCTTGACTACACTGACACTTTCAGTCCGGTTGTCAAAGCTACCACTGTCCGTGTTGTGCTTTCTATTGCAGTCACAAATAAATGGCCTCTTCGACAACTTGATGTCAAGAATGCTTTTCTCAATGGAACTCTTATTGAACGTGTTCATATGGAACAACCTCCTGGGTATATTGATCCTCGATTTCCCACTCATGTTTGTCTATTAAAGAAAGCCCTCTATGGTTTAAAGCAAGCTCCTCGTGCTTGGTTTCAGCGTTTTAGCTCATTTCTTCTCACACTTGGGTCTTCTTGCAGTCGCGCTGACACGTCCCTTTTTGTCTTTCATCATCAATCTAACATTATCTATTTGCTTCTTTATGTTGATGACATTATTGTTACCGGCAACAACTCATCTCTTATTGACAGCTTTACTCGCAAGCTTCATTCTGAGTTTGCTACCAAAGATTTGGGTTCTCTCAGTTACTTTCTTGGTCTTGAAGCTTCACCCACTCCTGATGATCTCTTTATTAGTCAGTTAAAATATGCTCGAGATATTCTTACTCGTGCTCCGTTGCTCGATAGCAAACCAGTTCACACTCCCATGGTTGTTTCTCAACACCTGACTGCTGATGGTTCTCCTTTCTCTGATCCTACTCTCTAAAGATCTCTTGTTGGCGCCCTTCAGTACTTGACTATTACGCGTCCAGATATTGCCTATGCTGTCAATTCTGTCAGTCAATTCTTGCATGCCCCTACTGCAGATCACTTTCTTGCTGTCAAACGTATTCTTCGCTATGTCAAAGAAACACTCCACTTTGGTCTTACCTTTCGTCCATCCACTGTTCCTAGTACGCTAGTCGCTTAATCGGATGCTGACTGGGTTGGTTGTCCCGATACTCGTCGTTCTACATCCGGCTATTCTATTTATCTTGGTAATAATCTCGTTTCTTGGAGTGCCAAAAAGCAACCTACTGTCCAGCTGTGAATCTTAGTATCGTGCTCTTGCCACAACTGCTGCTAAACTTCTTTGGGTTACGCATCTTTTGCATGACCTCAAGGTCCCTATTTCACAGCAGCCCTTACTCTTATGTGACAACAAAAGTGCTATTTTTTTTAGCTCTAATCCCGTTTCTCACAAGCGGGCCAAACATGTTGAACTAGATTATCATTTCCTTCGAGAACTTGTTACCGCTGGCAAACTTCGCACACAATATGTACCCTCTCATCTCCAAGTTGCGGACATCTTCACAAAGAGTATTTCTCGACCTCTCTTTGAATTTTTCAGATCCAAGCTTCACGTTCGTTTAAATCCGACGCTCAGCTTGCGGGGGGGTGTTAAGGATAGTTGACTGTTCATTATAAATATTTGCCTTACATTACGGGTTACCATATTTGCCCTTTTATTAAAGGCAAATATATTGCATTCATTTATTATTCTTTCCTTTTATTACTATTTCTATATTATTTGTAATTTACCATATTTCTGTATCCTATAAATGATTATAAATAAGAGAACTCTCACCCCCATGTGTGGTGATTCAGTAAACATTCACAAATCTCAATGCTCTCCATGTCCAAGATATTGTGACATTGTCCCCACTTTTTATGTTACCCTAGTTTACCTCAGTGGCCTAGATCATAGATTGTAGTGTCATGGTATCCAATTATTCCGACACTTGTTCTCAGCATGCCTTTCCTGATAAGGAATTTGAGCAGGGTCGGTCTCAGTCAAGGCTCTACCTGCTCTACCCCCTCGTCAAGTACCACTTCAGATTTTAGGGCACATAATCTATCATCATGCAATAAAATCTAAGTTATTAGGTACGGTAACCAATAATAACCTAATTAGATCATAAGACGTAACTAACATATGCATATAATTCAAATAAGGAGCGAGATCTTGCCTACTAACCTTACAACTTACACACCTTGTCAAGGCGAGGTGAGCTTCAGTCAAGTTGCAAGGTGTCATGGTCAGGCATTTTCAAGGCGTGTTGCTTACGGTCGCATCTCAGATGTTCCAACTTACACACCTTGTCAAGGCAATGAGTGTCTTATCTTATAAGATAGACTTCAATTTAAAAAGGTTGGAAGGAGGCAGAGATTTACCCACGCGACATCCGTAATCAAAATTGGTTAAACGGTGTAAAAACAATAATTGTTAAATAGAACAAGAATAGGATAGTACTTGAGACGGGTAAGTTCAAATTAGAGTTGGAAGGGTAAGCATTAACCTATAAATATCACTCCAGGGCTCTTCCATTTTCCTATCACTTGCTTCCTTTTTCTCTCTCTCATGCTTATCACCAGCCCTTGTATCTTTAAGTTTTCTTTCGCTCTTCTCCTAACCTTTCATGTTTTTCTTTCCCTTCTATTTCTATTTTGTAACCATGCCTTGGCTGCTGAATTAACATTCAATATTATTAGCCTCGGTGTCAAGCCCGATGGAAAGACCGATGCCTCGTCTGTGCTTCAAATGACATGGGCTAAGGCTTGTGACTCGTCTACACCGGCCACTATTTACGTTCCCAAGGGTATATTCTACGTTCGAAGTGTGAGCTTTAATGGGCCTTGTAAGAACAATGTTATTACTGTTCTCATTGATGGAACTCTTGTGGCTTCCTCGGACATTCAAGTTTTAGCTAAGACTAAATCTTGGATTGAGTTTAGTCACATAGATGGGCTTTCCATTACTGGCGGTATTATCGATGGGCAAGGAACTGCCTTATGGAATTGTAAACACTCGGGGAAGAGTTGCCTCACTGGAGCCACGGTATGCAAAATTTGAGTTGGCTAGATAAAAAATAAAATTTGAAATTTTTTCTTTAGCCGAAAGTTGAAAGAAAATGAGTCCATTAATTACAATATTAATTTAAATTTGTACTAATTCTTGTTTGGATTCTTTTGAATGGACAGAGTCTTCGAATAAATGATGCACAAAACGTGAACATCAATGGATTATCTTCAATTAACAGCCAAAAGTTCAACATTGTGGTGAGTGGGTGTCAAAACGAGCATATGACAAGAGTGAATGTCTCGGCTGCAGGCGACAGTCCAAACACTGATGGCATCCATGTGGAACAATCATCAGATGTGACCATCCTCAACTCGAGCATTAGCAACGGCGACGACTGCATCTCAATCAGTCTAGGGACCTCCAACTTGTGGGTGGAAAGTATTACATGTGGACCTGGACATGGAATCAAGTAGCTAGATTACGACGAACATGTTTAGAATTTTTTTTTTCAAAGGGTTAAATAAATTTGTCGCACTAAATTTTAAAAGATAAACCTAAACGTTGAATTAAATTTAAATCATTAAAAATATATCCTAAAGTTATTTTGAATGTGAGAAAAAAGATTTAAATTATTTTAAAATTATTTTGGATCAAAGTTGTTATTTAATATATTAGGTTGAAGTGAGAAAATTGAACCTCATGAAAAATTTGGTATTTTATTGAATGTATTTGTAGCATTGGGAGCTTGGGGATAAAGGCCGAGGAGGATGGAGTGCATAACGTTACAGTGACATTATCTACTTTCATCGGGCTTAAGAATGGAGTAAGGATTAAGTCTTGGGGAAGACCAAGCCGTGGATTTGCTACAAAAGTTTATTTTCAACACATCATTATGGATAATGTGAAAGATCCAATCATAATTGATCAAAATTACTGTCCACATGAGGAAGACTGCCCTGGTCAGGTATATTTTCTCGTTAATCTCACACAAGTTAATTTTTTTTTTCTAATTATATTTAACCTTACATTTGAATAGAACTCAAATTTTTAATTTTATAAATAATGGATTCATTTTATCTTTAATTGCTTCAAATTTGTTTGGTTTAAAATGGGTGCTAAATTATTAGTATTATTTTTTGTTACATTAAATTACACTTATGGGTAATAAATTGCGGACTCGGTTACCCTCACATATCTTAATATGGTAAGAAGTTTTTAGGTGGTAAAAAAGTTTATAGATGTCCTTGTTTATCCGTTTTCTTAGCATATTTTGATCGTTCTTCTTTATTCTGATTAGGCTTCTGGAGTTAAAGTTAGCGAAGTAACATATGAAGACATCAAGGGAACTTCCGCCACTGAAATAGCAATCAATTTTGATTGTAGCCCAATAAATCATTGCACTGGATTAAGCTTGAAAGACATACACCTAACTTACGAGAATCACATCGCTAAAGCTTCATGTAAAAATGCCGAAGGAACTACCTCTGGTGTGGTTGAACCTTCTGGTTGCTTAGCAGACGAATCTAATTTTTCGCTTAACGTGTTGGTGCTAAAATTAAAGGATAGTAAAAATGCTCTAGAGGGCTTATAAATTATTTACCAATTCTACCATAAAAATCAAACAACACTGACAAAATTTTAAACTCAATAAACGTTTTCTTATGGTATGGTATCTAGTGATTTAAAACAATTGCAGTCGTGGAGTAGGTCCAAGTGTTCCCACTAAACGAGAAAATCTCAATGAATTATTATACTAGAATAACTCTTATTCCTACAGTTGTTAAATATTATACTAGAATAACTCTGGTTCCTATAGCTGTTAAATATTATACTAGAATAACTCTTATTCCTATAGTTTTTACAGTAACTATTAGTTTACTCAACCACATCATTAACAATCTTAATAAATCTACCCATTATTTTAGACACAGCAGTTTATCCTTTTAACAGTTCAGCTTAATATTGACCCATGCAAATAAATTCCATACGAGGACAGTCCAAAAACCGCCGCGAGCCTCTATATGAATCTCACATTACGAACCAATGATCGAGACCGTATGATATATTGTCATGTTTCCTTCTCGCTGTTTTTAAAATAGTTCGTACTTATGAAAACTAGGGTAGACTTATTTATTTGCTAGTGAACTCGAACTTAAGACCCACTTTGTTGGCAATAACTTCCCTTTGAGACTTGTGGCCATCTACCGATATTTTTCTAGTTAGTTTTAGGGATTTTCTTAATCATCGCGCATTGGACAAGACTTCTCTTAGAGTTGAATTTGGGATTTATGGGCTCAATCTTAGGAACAAAGAAATGAACTATTAAGAGTGAACCTTTCCTTCATGAAATACTATATTTATTGAAATTGACAAACTCTTGATCTTAAGCTTTACGGTGATTGCAACATTTTCATAAACGACTTGGAATTGAAACACAGTGGATTGATTGATCAAATTTGAATTTCAAATGTCGGTTTTGGAAACCCAAAAAAAAAAAAAAAAAGAGAGTTTAATCGGAAAAATTTCCTCTCATTTTTTGATAATTAGGTATAATTGTGGGCTCTTAGTGTTCATAGCAAAGAGGGTGAAATCATAGTGAACTGAGGGCTAGAACGTTCAAATGGAAAAAAGTATCAGTCACCGAAGTTCGGGGTAAGTTTGGTTAACCCCATGATTTTGAGCCTCAATTTCTCTTTTCTTAGTAATATGTTAATTGGTGAAATTGGTACCGACGTGTTCAAGTTCGAGATATCGCGAAGTTTGGTGAAGGAACCAATTTCGATCGAGTCCTAGAATGTGCTGAACGAGGGTGATATTAGACTATCTAAGCCTTTCCCACACGCATGTCCGAATGGTCACAAGGTAGAAGATGATCGTGCAGTTAGTTCAGTTGAACTAACAATTAATGGTTGATCTAAACCCCATCCTTTAAACTCTTTAATGTTTTTGTTCAATTTTAACCAAAGGAGGATTGTAAATTGTGGGTTCAACGTCCTAGACATGTATATTCCTATCCTAACAACCTGATCACAAAATATTAAACATGTCCAAGTAAATTCCTATCAGGATTGTATATATGTATGTTGTTTTTAATCCTTTTTACTGATTTCTCTCTCTCTCTTTTCTGTTTTACATGAATTAGGACCTAATTATGATATTTGGAGAGTTTTAAGTTTGAGGAATGGGTAAAACCGAGCATGTAAATAGTCAATTCGATTTTTTTTTTTTTTTTTTTTTTTTTTTTTTTTTTTTTTTTTTTGAACATTACTGGTAGGAATTGACTTGGGCATGTTTGATATTTGGTGATCAGATTGTTAGGATAGAAATATACATGTCTAGGAAGTTGAATCACAATTTAGGATCCTCCTTTGGTCGAATTAGCGTGATTGGACAAACCAACTATTATTCATGTCTTTATTGAACCGAGCTGCTCAATTCATGTCTTAACATTTATTTCTACACTCCAAAACAACCGGTAAGACTTGATCAACACATATAAACAAGGTCTCAACAAACAACTTGGGGCTATGTACCAAAAAACTCTACCTTAATTCTTCCAGCCATAGCGAGTACAATTGTTCTATCATGGCTCGAGGGCGAAAACTAGTCCAACTTTAGCACCCTTATCAACCGCTTGGATGTCTACATTCGCAGATACGGTGAAGAACGACTTTGGACGCTACTCGTGCTGGATAAGAGCACTGGCCTTGCCAAAGTTGTTCACTCGAGCCTTCCCCGGGGGGTGTTTTGTAATTGAACCATCAAGGTCGGTGCACATGAGAACATGTAGTCAAGTTATCTGGCTTCATTGGAAGCTGTTATAGTTGGCCACTTGTCAACATTTTCTCCTTCACAAGACTCGCATTGGATAGTGGCCGCTTTATCTCATTTTCACCTGCATAAAAAAGTGGCATTGGTGTTTAGATCTTTCTCTTATTCGACGAGTTGGGGTTATGTTCTTCCCTTTAGATGTCAATGGGTCGAACTTGTAAGAGTCCTGCTGACCTCTCGGTTGGAAATGAACGTTTAACTAGCGCACCGAAAGTATTAGAATCGTTCTTGATCTTACTTAGAATTAAACAAAACAAAATGTTAAACAAACTACATTGAAGAAATATGGAGAAAGTTCTAGCAGATCTTTAGTCTACTTGCTCCAACTTCTCCAATAGGTGAATCTCCACCATAAAGTATTCATCGCTAGGAATCGAACACAAAGTCAAGGCTTGTGGTTGCTTCTTGAAAGAAAATCTACAAGGACGGGAGAAGGAGACTTTTAGAGAGAATACTGGAACCGAGGAAACGTGGGATACTTTTTGGGTCAAGCCAAAGGTCTTCTCTACGGCTATTTGAGGATATTTACCAAATATTATATTTGAATATCTGACATGGTAGGATATAACATCTTTCCCCAATCATATTTAAATGTCATAAGATATTCTCATATATATTTAATTAATTTAAATCTCGCTCAAATTTCAAATATATATTTTCATTCAATTATCTATATGCATGGATTATTTTAACATTTAGTATATCAAAAGCAATAAATATATTTTTCTCCTATTTGAACCCATTAACTTAAATGTATTTTTCTTTCTTTATATTTAATATATCTAATATTTTAATTTGCAATTTAAGCACTCTAAATTAAATATATTTTTTCTCTTTCTTGTATTTAATGGACCTAATATGTTAAATATCAATTTGAACACTTCAAATTAAATACTTTTTCTTCTTTGAAATTTTTCTTCAACTAAATCGATCCTTTTCGTGTTACTATGAGCTGGCAAAGGAACCTTATGACCGTATTGATTATAAGCTGCAATGACGTAAAATTAATTAAATATATTCCTTAATTAATCAACTTTGTTCATTAACTACAGGCCACTCCATCGTAGACCTAGAGTTGCACCCTTATATAGTGTACAACAAGTTTTGACCATTGATATAATCGTTCCAAGCTATCACGAGTTGTTCGCAATGTCTTATGCCTTAAGTGCCACTAACTCTCTCATGAACAATTTACTTATGATCAAACCATAAACCAAGTCCTTCCCGGGTCGGTGAGAGAGTGTAACTCCATTGTTCAAGTCCCGAAATCAGCACTTGAGGGAACTACTCGTCTACTTATTCTATATCGGAAAGAGTGAATTTCATGTCGTGAAATTATGTTCCCAGCTCCCTGTTTGGTCAAGTTCCCAAAACAGTAGACATATTAAATTTGCTATAAAAGTCATTCTCAACTCCCTTAGGATTGAGGTTGAGTCGCATATGGTCATCCTGTAAAATATTAATTTTCTCGATTAATGAATTTGTAAAGCGAGATAAAAAAATTTCGTGGTCCAATCTTATACAAACTCTTTGCAGTATAAGATACACCCACTCACATGTGTCAACATGAACGATTGAGATATAATCATTTGTAATAATTACAGACAGAGTCGTATCAATTATGTTATCAGGATAAGAGACGAAACCTTATCGACATACTATAGACCCTTTAGGTTATTCTTAAACATGATTCTCTTTTATGTCAATCACATGTTGTTTAAGATTACATCAATGATCTAGGACTTTTCGTACCATGGATAATGTTAAATTTTAAATAAAATAATCAAATATATTATTAAAATTAAACAATTAATTACAAGGCTTTATGGCATGAATCTTGTTAAGGATAGTTGATCGTTCATTATAAGGCAAATATCTAGATATTTGCCTTACATTACGGGTTACCATATTTGCCCTTTTATTAAAGGCAAATATATTGCATTCATTTATTATTTTTTCCTTTTATTACTATTCCCATCTTATTTGTAATTTACCATATTTCTGCATCCTGTAAATGATTATAAAAAAGAGAACTCTCACCCCCATTTAGGTGTGGTGATTCAACAAACATTCACATGGTATCAGAGCTCTCTCCGTTACATTTACTAATAATCTTATTACTATCCAGAATCGTCAAACAGGAAGGGTGGTGGCAACCGGTAAAAGAGATGGAGGGCTATATGTGCTAGAGCGCGGTGTCACGGTCATGCTTGTCCAGGGCATGTTGCCCATGGCCGCATGTCCATGACAAGCCAAACCCTTGTCATGTCTTTTCATTCTAGTGTTTTTCCTTTTGTAATTCTAGAGCGTTTGACACCTCAAAAATATCATGTCTAGACCTGCCAGAACTAAAATGGCCCAGAATGTACTATAGGGGGATATGACTAGTCGTCAAATTCTCCCTACCCAAGGTTATATATGCTAAGCCGTTGTTATCTTTCTCTTGCTTGCTTATATAACGTCTCTTTCTAAAATCTCTCTTTCTAAAATCTCTCTCTCTCCTCGTTTTCTAAAACCTTCTTTTAAAACCGAGGCTAGAGGCTCGACCGTACGTCGCTTGGCCGTAGGCGACGCAAGAACAAATTGGCTGGAAAGTGAGTGCCGCACAATCGCTAGTCCGCTGCCTTCGAAAGTGCGATTGTGTCAAGTGGTATCAGAGCTTTGTTAGCTCCGTAAAGTCATACAGACCGAGATCATGTCGACGACAAAGTCGACACCCAAAGCACAAGCCGACCGGCTTACGCTAATAGAGAAGGAAATGCT